GCATGACAGAAATGAAACGGAGAAGCACTGAGCTAATGTGTAAGTACCATATTGCTAATCAAAATCAGAAACTTAAACTAACTATAAACACTTTATTAAAACTGTGAATGACCAGAAACAAATATCTAGATATTTGCCAAATAATAGCATAAACAACATTTGCAATTTATTATCTTTAACCCAATCAATGTGAAGCTAGCCCTCTGCAGTTTACCGGCCTGTTACGTTTCAAATGTAATTTAGATAAAAGAGTAGCCCTGCATTAATTCTTTCAGTCATTCATCTTCTACAGCTTAATGCTTTTCAGGGTCACGTGAACTGCCAATCACAGCAGTCGTCGGGTAGATTCACCAGTCCATCACAGCACAGCATTTAAAGGCAAAGACTATTATACCCCTACTTGTTTCCTCAACTGCAAAAAAATTAATAAAATATAGACTGCAATCAATGCATATTAGACAAACATGAGCCCTTTATAGAGCTCCCTCTATGGGTCAGTCATCCAGTGTGATTGCATCCCTCTATGGGTCAGTCATCCAGTGTGTGCATCAACAACTACTTATACACCATGTAGATTGCGAGAGTATTTGTTGGGGTTGCTGGGCAAAGTGTCATGCACAGGAAACATATCAGGAAGCAGTACCAGCCCAGTTACAGTAAACGCTGAATTTCTATTGGCTGAAGCTTAAAGCACATACATAGATGCAGAAAGGAAATGCAGTCTGTGTAATTCAGGGGGGGGGGGGGGGGGGGGATTTACCACAGTCCATCATGTTCTGCTACAGTAATCAGCATTAACTAACAGACCTCAGAGTCTCAGAGAGAGAGATTTGATGGTTAGTAAAAAAAAAAAAAAAACAACCCAAAAAAAAAAAAAAAATCAGTACACAATAGTGATGGAAAGACAACATGAATTATAGAAGTTCAAGGAAAGTGTTGCCATGGAAACACAGATTTGTCAAAGGGTTATGTGCGGCTGTTTCTTGAGCAACAAAATGTTGTTGTGGTTTGACTATAACTATACTTTTTCTATTATTTATTACAATTTATTATTATTGATGTATTTTGGTATTTTGTATGTTTACTGTATAGCCTGATTGTTGATTGACTGAAATTGTAAGTCACTGGATAAAAGTGTCCGCTAAATGTATTGTAATGTAATGAAATATATACACATATATATACACACACACATATATATATATATACACATATATATATACATATATATATATATATACACAGTATATAGTTACAGTATATATGTGCGTCTAGACTAGAAAGAATCAAGATATAATATATAACACACATGTCAAACTCCTGTCCAGAGGACAACTTCTGGTGAGTTTATCAATGTCAAGCCACTTAGCATGATGTGAAATAATAAATATATTTAAATATATATATTTTAAAAATTTGGATCTGTCTAAAACCGTCTAAAATAGCCCGGACCCCCACAGATCTGTAGAGTGAGGTGCAGAAGGGAAGCACACAGGGATGCGATGACAGAATGACGATCTCGGTGATTTATACACTCATATTCCAAGTACACCGTAAACCCAGTCTCCAGGAAGAGACAGTAACATCGCACCTCATGGCTTTGCTTCGCCTTGAATGGAATTCGGCTGATCTTCAAATCAAACACTTGACACAAAAACGACAGTTTTAGTAAAAGAGAAGTTCGTTAAAAATGCAACAGCTTGTTCTCCCTCCTCCCGCCGTCTGCGGCCATCATTCAGAGCTTTTAACCACTCTGACGGTGCACATCCAGGGCAAGCCCTGGTTCTTCACTCTACTGGGGATTTTCCCCACTCCTGGTTGCCATGGTGATAGAACCACATTCTAGAGTGGAACTGCCTCCGGATTATGTACGGCCTAATCCAGGATTTTTCTGGACCCTTTTCACCTTACATGGATGCACAGTCAGGGTCCACCCACTTTATGATGGTCACAACAAAAAGGATCAAGAATAAATATATATTTTTTACATTCATATTTTTATACTCAATGTGAACTGGACATGACAGTATGTTCATATATATATACCAAGTAATCTAGAAAAGGACAATGGGTGTTAGTGGGCTCTGCATTAGCACTGCATTAGCACTGCATTTAGCTGTGGCCCAGGAGTTTATAAAAAAACATCTAATGGAAAAAGTATAATCACCCAGAGATAAGCCGCTGTTTATATTTAAAAACGAGGGAGACACTGCCAGTTCCTGCAAAAGGATATAAAAAGGACCAAGGGTGCCCACACTTTTTTGGCTCGGGGGCTACTCCAGGCTAACCTGATCTACCAATATTGAAAAAAATATTTGCTGACATAGAATGAATATACTTTGTATACATGTTTGGGTACTGATTAGATGCGGAATATTCTGTGGCCCAATATGATTAAATTCTTATAGTATATGGTCACTATTACACTATTCTATATATATATATAAAACAAATGTACTGGGATACTAAGACATGACCATGTGGAACACCAACCTTTGACGAAGTCATTTGTAAAATGTTTTCTTATTCTATGTTTTTTTCTTACTTTTTCTAGACTTATTTCTCATCATTACTCATTCTGTCTCACCCTCTGTCTTCCTGTCACAAAATATATTTATTAGTTATATTTATACTTAAGGCAAAATTGCAGAAGATACTCCTCTGAGCTGCGACGCTCCAGAAATGCTTACAGACAAACATGAGAG